CCCTAAACCCCTAAACCCCAAGTCATTGGACCCCACGATCTTCTTTGAGCTCGGCAGCCTCGGTGATGTTGGAAGGCTGCGTGCACGGGAGACCCGTGTAGCCTGAGTCAAAGGAAATTACAGGTGGAGAGTTTAGGGTATATAGGCCTTCTATAAGGCTTCAATAAGCTATATAGACCTTCTATAAGGCTTCTATAACGGTAACTACCCACCTGAAAGTGTCCTGGACTGAGGAGGTAAGTAATAGAGAGCCTCTGAAGAACTAGCAGTAGCATGCTGCTAATGGGTTTAGGAGTTTATGGGGTCTCCCGTTCGTTGTGCATGTTGAGTTTGGGGTATTGCGCTCCTCGGGTAAGAAGTATCCCCTAAGCATCCCTATAAACTCACCCCAAAATATATCCCAGGAACCGTGCTGATTAGACAACATCGTAAGGCCCTGCCTCCCCGGGGCTCAAGTCTGGGGTTTAGGAGTTTAAGAAATAGGAGTTTCCGAAAATAGGGGACCCTAAACCCTAAATAGTAGGATCCTTCTTATAAGGACCCAAAAATAAGGTACCCCAATTTCTCGGAAACTCCCAAATAGGGTTTGTGGCTCCAGGTTTGGGTGCAGGGATGTAGGATTTAGGACTGGGATTTGAATTCAAGGTGCCGTTTTAGATCCGCAAAATAATACGGCATCCATATACAAAAAAGGCCCCAAAAGGACCCTAAATTAGAGAACTGCTCATGTCGGGCTTACCCTGAACAGGAAGTGGGATGCACAGGGATCTGTCCTGGGGCCTTGCAGGCAAGCTGCTCACGCTCTTCACCTTGCAGCTGACGAAAGGTCCTGCAAACCTCAGGTCTCATAACATCTCGCGCTTCGTGCTGTGCTTTGACTACGGCCTCCGGCTTTAGGGGTTTAGGGTTTAGGGGTTTAGGGTTTAGGGTTTAGGGTTTAGGGTTTAGGGTTTAGGGTTTAGGGTTTAGGGTTTAATGAAGCAGGAACAGCATACCATACTGCAGAGCCTGCGCTCCACAACCCCCTTCCACTAAGAAGGCTTCTAGCAAGGACCAGAAGTGTTCTTCGGTGCTTCACCAAGGGGCTTTATCTAATGTAGGGGCCCGAATCATGAGAATAGGGTGGGTTTTGGGCTCCTTTATAGTGCAGTTGCATTCAGAAACCCTAAGGAAGAAGATCGCTAATAGAGGGGTCTTCATAATTAGAATAGGGTTTTCGGGCCCTTTATACTATAATGATAATAATAATAATGATAATAATAATAATAATAATACAGGTACTTACTAAGGCCCCTATATTAATCATTTAGGCTTCTAGGGTAATGAGGTTCCTAGATGCGTCAAGACTTAGGACAGCGCAGCCTTGAAGGGACCGAGATCGAGATGGTACACTGGGCTTTGAAGTACCCAGGGAGAAAGAAGTATAGACTTTTATTTCATAATGGTTCCTTTAAGGAACAGGTCCCAAAAAAAAAGGTATTAAAGTATGGTACTCCAGAGCCCAGTACAAGCCCAAATGATGCCATCTTGGCTTTGCGGAGCCCCTAAAGCTCCTAAAGCATTGAGCCTTTGGGGTCAGAATGTTTGTTTAGGATTGTCTAGGGCCTAATGACCCCAAACCCTAAACCCTAAACCCTAAACCCTAAACCCTAAACCCAAACCCGACCGAATCCGAGAGGCTCAAAGAGGCCCTTCTTCTTGTTCTGGAAGTCGCCCGGGCTCTGTTGCTGCAGCAGCCTTGCAGGACGTGGGACTTCCCAAAAACCAAGACATGCTGAAGCAGACCTTTTATAAACCAGTATATAAGCTCCTTCCAGGCCTCTGAGTAATAAGCTCTGTAAAAAAAACCAATAGGCTCCTTCTAGGCCTCTGAATATGCTAGCTGATCCCCCATTTTGCTCTGTCGGGGCCTTGATACTTCGAAAATCGGTTCCTCTCAAGAAGTCCTGCCAGGGTTTCTTTAAGAGCCGTACCCTGAACCCTAAATGCCTAATCCTTGAACCCCTAAGAAGAAAGCCGAAACCATCGACCCGCAGATCTCACCTGGCAACTGGGAGGGCTTGGGACTTAGGCTTTAAGAACTAGGAGGCTTTGCGGCTTAATAGGGTCTACCAGGGCTTCGGCGTCGGGACTACAGCAAGTGATCATACACAGAAGACCGAAAGCCATCAAGATGCAATCTTGAACGACAAAGGTCTACAAAACTGTACACACCCATGCGTACATGTAACTAGTTGTATCTACGCTTCCGTACATGCTATCTGCATACTCCACATGACAACGGAAATGTAAGGCGCTGCATAATAAATAAATGGTTACGCAGCGGCATGTACATATATCCGCACAGGTATGTGTGTGTATATATATATATATATACATGTGTGTATGCGCAGCTACATCTATGTCTACATGTATGCCAATGTATGCATGGTATAGAAATGAAGAATATCAACACTATTGCTGCAACATAACAAATCTAACAACAAGAATACACGTACCACAGTGCCTGCTCCTTCAAAAAGCGTGAATTTCTGCGCTCATCCAAGGAGCCAATTCCCATCATCGCAGCCTTCGACGAGGGAGTCGGCTCCCGTCTGACAGGGGCAGAGATTCGCTAGTTTAGGATTCCTTGCAGCAGGTGTTAGAAGTTAGAAGGGTTACGATAGGGTTTGGGGGTTTGGTGTTTGTTGGATGAGTGGGGATGGAGGTTTAAAGGTTCAGGGCTTGATTCGGGTCTTGGGCTTTCAATGTCTGGGATTTGTTCTGGCGGCTTTGCGGCTTCCATTAGGCTTATGACGCACAGAAAGCTCTTCCAGGAGCACGCGGATTTAGAGGCATGAAGCTCCTTAACCCCAAGCCCAAATCCCCGGAAGTTTCAATGCTACCCCATGCAAGTGCCGAACCCGAAACTAAAATACCTGCGACCTCATTTAGATCCGGGCTACAGTTTGCTGTCCACGAGAACGAGTTCACGACTTAGGATCGAAGATTTAGATTTAGGGTTCGTCTTACCGTTTATTCGTTCATCAGCTGCTACAATTTAGCGCGCAGTTTTAACCAGCAGCTTCGGCTGCTCGAACCCGCGAAGCTTACCGATTCCGGTGTGACAACAACGACGGCAGCAGCAAAAGCCGCTGGCACTGATACTGCTACAGTTGTGCATGGGTTCTACTGCGGAAGCTGCGACTGCGACTGCCGCTTCTACTGCTACCACGACGACTCCGACTACTGCTGCTGCTACTGCCACCACCAACTGCAGCCCGGCAATCCCGGCCTTGAACTTCCGCAGGTAAATCATCTCGTTCGGCGTGAGGCCTTCCTGGCTTGCTTTTTGTCGGGTTCAGGTCCAGGTTTTAGGAGTTTAAGCTTCAGTCCTTAGGGCAAAAGAGCTCTACCGTGTTGCAAAGACTTTCAGGAGAAAGGGCGAGGATTTGCTCCGCGGGTTACGGAGTCTTGAACACCTGCAGGTACCACCAGGGAGACAGTGAATATGGGGGGGGGGGGCGTAATAATTCTAATGGGGTTTGGGGTCTATTGTACTTTTGTTGTACTAAGGAACCCTTTAAGCAAAGTGTCTGGTATTGGGCTTCTAGATTCGCGCTTCGCTCTTGCTGCTGTGCAAGGGAGGAACAAGCTCCGTGACTTCTGCAGCCTCGATGCAGGTGCCAGGGGTTAACTGCAGGGCTCATAACCCCCGGGGCCTTGTGCCTTAAATCTTCCAAGCAAGAAGCCCCTCTTAATGCCAGGCTGTCAGCATCCGCTTCCATGCATGACCCGAAACCTCTCGAGTTTCCGAAAGCTCTCAAAAGCCTCGGGTGCCCTAGAGCCCCAAACGCCCCAAAACCCACAAAACCCTAAACCGCTTAACCCCCCCTCCGCCGAAGCCTTGAGGTAAGTCATGCTACCACGGTCGACATCGTAGCCGACAGGGCAATAGGTGCCTGTTTTTGTGGCTTTAGAGGGTTTAGTGATTAAGGAATATTAGGGGTTTAGAGTTTAGATCCAGCAAGCAATTACGTCGCAGCACCATTGCAGCCCTACGTCGCAAGGTACGAAAAGCAGCCATCACACAGAACAGGGTGTAGGGTTAGCCTTCATCAAAGAACCGTCAGCAACACAGGGAACACAAGTAAGACTCGGATTAGGATCTGGCACATCTGGCCCGGCCTCGTTCAAGCCACGTTCGGGCATCGACTTGAACGCAAGCCGTATCTGGGTTGCAGTCCTTGGCATGGACGGAATCGAAATGCTCGAACCTCTTACTGTCAATGTTGTGGGCAAAAAGAGCTGCTGAAAAAGCATGCGACATCCTTAGAACCGAGACGGAAAGGAGCCAGCCGCACTCGAACCCAAGCCGGAGCTAGTTAGCAGAGACGAAGCTGGCTCCGGGTCTCAAGGCTGTAACAAAGCAGACCTGCTGTTGAAGTTGAGGCATGCGGAGTTCAGGCTTCGGGGATCAGGGTTTGGGGGGCTGTTTAATTAGAATAGGGTTTTGGGGCCCATTATACTCTAATTATAATAAAGGAAGCCCCCAAAATACTATAGGTAAAACTAAAGGCCCCTACATTAGGGTTTAGGAAGGGTCTTGGGTTCAGGGTTCGGGGTCTGGGGGGGGGGGGGCCACACCGTACATCGGCCTGGCTCCTGCGCTTGTCTTCCCTGTACACCACAACTTCACGGTTTAGGGTTTAGGGTCTGTCTTCCGGCTGCGAGCGAGTGCTTTTGAAGACCTTTTGCTCAACCCGGAACCCTAAAACCCAAATCCTAAAGACCTCGAAAATCAAAAGGCCCTGCCCTGACGCAGCCGAGATCGCTTGAACCATTCAAGCTCCGACGAGTTCCCCAACAGCCAAGCTTCGGGAATCTTGGTGTAGACCTCGACCGTCCTCCCGCCCACGGAGTTTCGCTTGGTCTCGATGCATCGCTTGCGCTGGCAGAGGCAGGGGAGTGATGCGGAGAATGCTCTACATGGATTCTGTAGCTATTAATATAAGGGTCTGATTTTGAGCCGTATTGATTTGAACAGGGGTTTAGGAGATATTGCCGAATTTCCAGACTTCGATATTGGGGTTGGTGGGTTCAGGGCTTCAGGAAGGGTTCTCCCATGGATAAAGCCTACCCACACGGACACGCCGGGGGCCCCAGGACCTCGTAGCTTTGCTTCGTGGGCCAAGGGGTTCTACTGGATTCTCACAAAGACCCACCGGCTCAACTCCTGTGAATCTGCCTCGACGCTCCTGGTTTCTCGCTAAGTAGGCCAATCTGCAATGAAGAGTCTTCAGACCCTACATTATACTCAAGGAGCCTTAGCAGGAGTCAGCAGGCATATTGAACAAATCATACACTACGCTTCTAGCTCAAATCAGCTCAATCCTCGCATTGGGTGACGAAATGACACTTCATTACATGGGGTAGTTCTCTGAATCAGGATCCCTTTTTAGGTTCGCCAAGTAGTACGGCACCCCTATAACAACGGCCCGAAAGGGTAGCCTCATTTAGAGAACTACCCACATGTTGCTAGGGCTCATGGCTACGACTACTCGCAGCAAGCATGATCAGGACCACACCAAGGAGACATAAATCAGTGACACGGAGGAGACCTGCAAACTTCGCTCGCAGTCAGAGTTTCCACAGGGACTATTGAAGATATAACAGGGCTTCGTCATTCATTCTCAAGCGACTGCGTCTGCAGAGGGAAATGAGCCAAAACATACGTATGTACAAGAACCCTACACCCTGCACCCTGGGCATCCTCTAGTATGGTCATATTAAGAGCACTTATGGTAACCCTTCAACCCTAAACCCCTGTAGGAATAGTAACTACAGTATGGTTATAATAAGAGCTCTCAGTGTTATCCTGCAACCCTAAACCCCAAAAAAGTAGCTATAGTATGATTTCAATGAGAGCTCTTAGGGTAACCCTCAAGCCCTAAGCCCCCTAAACCCTAAACCCTAAACCCTAAAACCCTAAAACCCTAAAACCCTAAAACCCTAAACCTTAAACCCCCTAAGGAAGCGTGGCGACGGCCCACCCTCCGGCGGGTGTCGTAGACATACGCCGAGCAGCTGGGCCGGCTCCTGTCCCGTAATCCAGAGAACCCTAAAGGCTTAGGGTTTAGGGTTTAGGGTTTGGGGTTTAGGGTTTAGGGTTTAGGGTTTAGCCCTAAACCCTACAGTGCCTAAAGTAAAGCCTAAACCCGACACCATGCTAAAACCCACGTCCAAGGAGCCCAACATCTATGATCATGCCTCCTTGGAGGAACAGGGGAAGAAGGAGCTTCCCAAACCCGCGACCTTGGACTGGAGGCCTTCTGACACAAAAGCCGCCACAAGGCCAAGGACTGCAGGCATTCGGCCATAGCGCTGCAACGTTGACGCATGGGTGGTTGTCAAGATTATGGTCCCTTTTTGGG